GTGCTAAAGTCCAATTCGTGCATTCCACATGAGCACGATTCCATCTCTGAAGCCTTATTGATGGAACGTCAGGGTCAATTGTTGTTACCCCTCCGGACCCAGGACATAAATTGACCAGAAAGACAATTGTCCCAAGTAAGTGGAAAGGGTCAATAATTCGTGAGGAAAAATCAATTGAATCCATGTTCCTCCATCGTATAAGTCTATGTTTTTCCCTGACTTTCAAGGAGATAGATTTGTTTCACAATGTGCTTAATTTGGCATCAGAAATTAGAAAAGAATTCATTCACGTTGAGGAGTACATATGGAAGAGATATTATGAGAACTAAGATACGAAGAAAGGTGACTGTGGGATGGTCGGTATGGGCCGACTGCGGAAGGGGAAGGGTTGTGAGCATCCATCGGAGCATCATTAACGTTCGCGAACTGAGAGTAAACGCTTGAAACGCAAGAGGCCTGAATTGAAATTCTATTGTGAAATTAAAATCCCTAACTAACAGTAAAAATTCGAAATTCTTGTTTTTAACCCTTCAAAATTCATGAAGTTAAATATATGTATTTCAGTCAAATTCAATTCAATTATGTTTGAAAAAGAGAGATGCTACCAGCATAATGTTTTGTGTATAATATTATTTAAAATGTAAAATCATATTAAATAAGTTGTTAAATACAAGAAATATTATATAGTATTAATACCACTTTTATACTCTTTTTATTGTAATATTAATATTTAAAAATACATAAATAATCTTATAAAAAATTTAAAAAGAAAAGTTTCCAAAGCAAACAGTCCCTATTGCAACAGCACAACCTCGTGGGTTAATCGTCCATGTGATAATTCTCGTAACTGGGAACCACAGCTCGTCTCCTTGCTTTCAATCCACGTGAAAGTTTTGTTTTGTATGAGTTCCGACAATCTTCTCACAACCACATATTCCAGAAGGCTCAAGGTCCACAATAATTCACATTTCCTCTTTTATTATTAGCCTCTCAATTTCAAAATAAAAGATTTTTTTTAATTTTAACTTTAGATTAAAAATTTAAAGATAAATTTTATTTTTAATTATTTTACCTTTTAAAAAAATAAAAGCAAAAAACTTATAAAATTAAGAGATAATTATAAGATTAAAATAAAAAATATCTTTCTTAAAATAAAAAAAGATTATTATTCTAAAATAAATTTTCAATTAAAAAATATTTATAGTATTATTCTGCAACAAAAAATGTATTTTTTTTATTTAGTCGATTGCGATATTTTTAGTTGAGCTTGTGTACACCTTGAGCTTTGTCCCCCTAGTTAAATTTTGTTATTTTTACCATAATTTCACTGATTGAAAGAAAACAAAGGCCAAATATTTGCTAAATTAAATTAAAAGAAAAATAATTGAAACACTTTTCAATTCAAAATTCCTATAATGTCGGGGCGCATATCCACAAACAAGACGTCTTTCTTGAATCTTTCACACCCCTACACAAAGAGGTGTTAATTGTTGATTAACTACTACCATATTTTACACGGCCAAAAGAAAAAAAGAAAAAAAGAGAGAAAAAAAAAAAAAAACCCTGCTGCCATACGTATCTTGTTTTCAGTTTGAAAATTAAGGATTCCAACCCTTCTCGTTTACGTAACAAATGAAAAATTAAGTCGTTTTGTCCCAGAATGATTCACACCAATTAAGTGAGGGTCTGCGTATGCTACTTATATATATATATATATATATATATAAAAGACAATCTTATGGTGGGTGGCACAAAGTAAACAAATTATACACAGCACAAACATGAATGATCACTTAACAGTTCAGGTAAAAATTCACAAAGAACTAAAAAAAAGAAAAAAGGGGCCATTTATTAAAGTTAAATCCACAACCTCACCAAATATATAGGGGTCTCAATATCTAAATCTTTAACTATTAGAAATTTGGAACTAAGGCCTCACTCATATAATCTCTTTATACACATACATATGACATCTTATGGTAAGGTAATTAATCTTATTCTACTCTAACAAGTTGGACTTCATGATATAAATTAAATAATAATATTTTTTAACTCTATTACTCTCTTTATCTTAAAATAATTGTCATTTTCTTAATTTGAGCTTATCTTAAATTAATTAATTATTATTATTTCATTTTTTAAGACAAATAAATATTTTTTTGTTACTTTAACTCTCATATTTATTTGTTTATTTAGATTAATTATTTAATTATAAAAAATCTTGCTTTTTTCTAATCAACAAAATATTTTATTTCACGAATATAAGAGATAGTCAAACCATTATAATCTTACACTCCACTTGTGTATAACTCAATCAAAACAATTTTAAAGCATTATTTTCCTCATTGAACATTTAAATCTCCCAGTGGTAATAATTCCAAACCATTCCTTAAAGCATAGATAACGCCTGTCTTGGATTGAGTTTCCACATTTCCAAATCAAGTTCTGGATAATCTTTAGCCTTTAGCCACACAAACGATCTAAATTTAAATATTTGATGAGATCCACTACCTTCATCTCCTTATTCATCTATGTTAGGATATCAGTATTCATTTTTAGAATATTATATTCACATTATAATTGATTATATACATTTAAGCTATTTGGTTTATACCTAGGAATATTCTATTGTATAGATTTGTACATAAGACCTATGTACATACAATGAAAAGAAGAAAGCAATAAACATTTTTTCAAATTATTTCTTTTGTTTTCTGTTTCCAACATGATATTAGAGCTATAGCTCATGGTTCTTCTCTTTTATCATCACTATTTGGTTTTTTAAGTTGGATTTTCAAATCCATTTCAGATCTGAAACTTTGTCATCGGGATCTCTTCTCTTACAGATTGGATTGTTTATTCTTAAGCCCTTTCTGAGGTATTTTGTTAAGTTGTTATTTCGATCTAGGCATATATTTCTTCATATTTTTAGAGATTTTTTTTTTCAATATTGTGAGTTTTTATTGATTATATGACGAGTTTTGAAGGGATTGTAACTCATCCTGCTACTATTATGGTTGCCAAAGAAATAATATACCAACTTAATGTCAACCTTGAATCCCTAAAACAAGTGATATTAAATTTTTTTAATGCTCCTACTACCTTATCTATTGCTTTAAGTACAAAACATTAGT